TTTTAATTCACTAAATACCACAGGCACTAAGATTACTCTCTCTGACTCACGTAATTCTTCACCCAAATACTTTATCCTTTAAAAAAGAACACATCAAACTGTAACCCAATCTGCATGCATACCTTTGAGGAAGTCTAGCATGTGTTCTGAGGCGAGAGGCCGTGAGCGTGATTCATGTAAGGTCGAACAGCAGCTGTTCGTTTAGAGTTAAGGCTTTATGAAAAGGACAGGTCGACACTCCTCTCCCCTGCGTTAAATATCATACCAGATTAAATCCGCCAGTAAGCATGCTGAATTCAGCACTGCCGAGGAAAAGATAACTGTTATTGAAGTTCTTATCTGAGTCTACATAATGAATCATAGACTTGGCTTTGTGTGCTCGGCTTCTCCCGTCATTCAAACCACAGAGTGATATGGCTAGTGATGTCATATGTTTACAATTCGACTACTTGTTGTTATGTGTACTCTTAAAATTATTGATGGTATTACTTTAAGACTATAGAGTGAATCTTACTATCGTTGTTTCTGTCTTTCAAAGGAGTCCCGATGATGAAAGTGTCTTGATTGTCAGCACCTACAGCAAAGCCTTCTCACAGTCCTTTGAGAATCTTCTGGATGATACAAACTATGGCTTGGTACAGGTTTGTGATTTACAAGGGGAATCATATTAGTAACCTTCCACGAATTGAGCTTTGATGTAAAAATATTCATTTATGTGATTGAAAGCATTCTTCACAGTATTATCTCACTCTCCAACCAGAAATTCAAGAAAGATCCTTATACAACAACGCTGGGTGGCTTCTCCAAAGTCACAAACTACCTCTTTGACGCATTTCGGGTGCCTGAATTAGAATGTCACCAGCGGCCTGCCGAGGAGGTGGCAGATTTGTTGGGAGAACTCATTCCTGGACTAGAGATTAACCAGCAGGAAGAGCCTGGATTTGAAGTCATCACCAGAGTGAGTGCAGATCTAATGCCAACCCAAACTCTGACTCTGGGTCTAGACACAGACAGTCGACATGAGGAATCCTGTACAAAACATACTGTTATGGTAAATTGATTTGAGGTGTTTGTGTTCCAGCTTGATCTGGGACCAAGGCCAGAGGTGCAAAGAAGGGGGCCAGCAACAATGGAAGAATGGGCAAAGTACCAGGACTCAGAGGGAAGAATAACCAATGTACCTCACTTAAAGGATGTTATATTTAAAGGGGTAAGAAATTACTTTGAATATCTTACTGTAGTGTCTTCCATTAATGTACCTAATTTCTGATGCACAGGATATCCTTTCTTTGTTGCCTATGCTGTTTTGGTTTTCTCACACTCTTCCCCTTTTTCACTGTAGTCTTCAGCTGTCTTTTCTTTGCTTTTGGTTTTATCACCTCCTCTTCTTTCTCCTCTTGTTAACCTTTGTGGTAGATTGCAAATGTTTAAGTCATGAGTTCATCTTTTTTTCATATTTTATCCATCTTTCGTTGTTCTACATCATAAAGGAAATCACATACCCTGCCTACCATTTATTTAATTAGTAAAAGTGTTTTAATTTTGTAACATATTATTTGTAATGTATTATTGTGATGACAGCTGAATTTCCAGCAGCCATTATTACAGTCCTCAGTGATGCATGATCCTTAAGAAATCATTCTAATATACTGATTTGGTGCTCAGGAAACATTTCTTTCTCTCTTTACTCTTTCTACATCCAAAACAAAGCATTAAATATACATTAAAGGTACAGTATTTCATCATCCCAGTCTGATACATTTGAGTGGATTTCCTTTAGGCATACCTTCCAAAAAGCTAGCTGCAGTGTAAAACACTACATTTTACATGTACACAAACTCAACTTGATTTGGAAATGAGTCTGACACAAGCTGTTGTAGTGTCCCATTTTTCCTGTGACTTCTTGTCCACCTGCTTTCAGTTAGACCAGAACTGTTTATACATGTATAGTAGACCTGTTTTTAAATATTTCAGAGTATGTAGCTTATTAAGGCTGCTGATTTAATCGCAACAGGGTCTTTGCCATGCGGTGAGGAGGGAGGCTTGGAAGTTTTTGCTCTGCTATTTTCCATGGAACAGCACTCATGAAGAAAGGAAGCTCCTGCAAAAGAGAAAAACGTATGCATGTTTCCCTCAGAGAAATTATATAAAGCTCTCTTCTTATCAGATTAAGCATACATAAGATCATGTGTTTTCCCCTCAACAGTGATGAATACTTCAGAATGAAGCTTCAGTGGAAGTCAGTAAGCGAGGAGCAAGAAAGAAGAAACTCAAGGTTACGAGATTATAGGAGCCTTATTGGTGTGTATAGAATTACATAGCAAGATTTATTCTTTAGCTGTTTTAAAAATGTTTTCAAAATATTCACCTTTTCATTTTATCTGAATGAAGCTCAGTTTGTGGTTGTTGAATCTTTTTAGAAAAAGATGTGAACCGAACTGACCGAAATAACAAATTTTACGAAGGCCTGGACAACCCTGGCTTGATATTACTACATGACATCCTGATGACGTACTGCATGTTTGACTTTGATTTAGGCAAGTGACTACATTTGTTTGAATCATCATTTAGTGATTCTCTTCATAAGAACTACTGTATACCACTGTAAAAAAAATGTATGTAATCTACTGTTATGTATACTCCCATGCTGGTATCTTGTAAAATCCTTTAGTTAATGTCAATGTGATTTTAATTGCACATTGTTATTTATATTATGGATAATCTTAAGTGCTTTTCAGTGTAGCGTTGCTTGTATTTACCTAGTTTCCTGTTCCTGTGCAGGGTATGTGCAGGGCATGAGTGATCTGCTCTCTCCCATCCTCTTTGTGATGGAGAATGAAGTGGATGCCTTCTGGTGCTTTGTTTCCTTCATGGATGAAATGGTAATGCAGTGTGTTCATTACAGAACGTCTCTCTTTAGCACTCTTGGGTTTGCTGTGCATGAGAAGCTGTAAAACTCATGTTTGTTACAGCATGAAAACTTTGAAGAGCAGATGCAGGGGATGAAGACCCAACTAAT